GGTGAGTCACGGCCCGGGCTGGCAGCGGGTAGCTGGACGGGGCTGCAGCCAGGCTCCAGAGCAGGGCCCGACTGCCCCCGGGCAGGTTTTGCCTCCTCACCCGGGGAAGGAGCGTCCCCCCAGTCCCTGACTCCACGGCCGCTCCCAGCTGCTGTCCTGCACGGCCCCTGCCCGCCCGGGAGAGGACAGCAGGACAGCTCCCGCGCTGGAGGAGGGGACAGCCCGCCCGGGAGAGCCTCCTCCTGCCTCACAGTGCCCAGGAGAGGGATCTGCCCAGATCCTGGCCGTGGCATGGGGCCTGGGGGAGGCAGGGATGGGTACATCAGTCCCCACCCCATGGGGAGGTTGATGCTCCCCAGCCCTTCTCCAGCTGCGGGTTCCGGGCCTCAGTCCACCAGCGAGATGTCCTCAGTCAGTCCTGTGTCCTGCATTAGTGATGCTGGTTTTTTCCTTTATGAGCTCCCACATTCTGTCTCGCTCAGCCTGAGCCTGCTCTTGGAGCACTAAGGTGCTCCCATCTGGTTCTGAGGAACCTGAGAAAAGCCGAGCCCCTCGGGCGGCCGTGACCACGGCCAGGCAACGCAGGACAGCTCTGGAGGGGGATTTACTTACCCAAGAGGTTTCAGATGCAGAGCCAAAGGGAACTGAAAGCTCTCTCAAGCCCTGTTCTGACCCTTGCCTGCCTCGTCCACCTTCCTTGGCAGGCAAGCACCGGGGCTATGTCAGTGCAGAGGTACTAGGTGGCTTTTCAGCTCCCATGCCCTGTTTTAGGTGGAGCAGGACGCAGCAGACACCCACAATTATCTCCCAGCTACAGTGGGGAATAAAAAAGATACCTTAAAATGCAGTAGCTGACCTGTAGCCTGATCAGCAGCCTGGCATGCTGAAAACCCATCGCTGACCACCCTCAGCCCTGTGCCTGGGGCTGCCTGTGTGGGACCTGCTGAGAGCTGCAGAGGGGACGGTCACCTCCCTCCGCTGTCATCTTGTGGCTGGTCCTGGCACGGCAGAGCACAGCCCCAGGGCCACTGCAGAGGTGTCAGAGAGCCACCTCAGAGAGAAACTCACGGGGCCATCAGGGAGAACCCAGATGCCCAGCCCCACAATACCTGGCACAAACAACGATCTCCTCCCCCATTCAGGAGTGAGGAAGCCACGGTGTGCAACCAAGCAGCTGCGTTTTCTCCCCGGGGAGGCCATGGCAGAACTTTTTCTTGCTCATTCTTTGTTCCCTGGATCACCTTCCAGGAGCCTGAAAATCAGCTGCAATTACAGCAGGTTGCTAGAAGCGTTTTGGTGCCTTTGAAAGGTGCTAGTCAGCTCTTTTCCTGCTGTTCAAACGAACGTGCCACATGAAGAAGGACTTGGGGCAGAAACGGTGCCTCTCTACTCCAGCCACAGCTCCTCCGTGGAGTTTCCAGCCCAGACCTGGTTATACCCAGGCCAGTTTCATTCCTGTCCTCTGAATAACATGAAAGAGCCCCAAGCAGCACGTGTTGCATTTGCCCAGACAGTGCTGAGCTCTCCCCAGGCAGCCACAGCGTGTGTGAATTCACCTCATCTGGGAACAAAGCAACAGGTGCCCTCCAAAGCAGATGTTTGTATAGAGAAAAAAAAGGTAGTTTGGGGAAGAAAGAGCTAGTTTGGAAAAAAATCAAGAGGAACAGCGACTTCGAGCCAAAGGTGGATGCAGAATGCCTCCTCTGCCCAGGCTGCCCAGGGCAGGGGTGGAGTCCCCACCCCTGGAGGGGTTTCCAAGCTGTGGAGATGTGGTGTGAGGGACACGGGGCAGTGGGGACCTGGCAGTGCTGGGGAAGTGTTGGGCTGGGTGATTTTGAAGGTCTCTGACAACCAGAACAATTCTGTGACTCTCTTTGCCCAGGCCTGCTGTGATGAAAACTTCTCACAGCATCACTGGAGTTAATATTTACTGGTGAATCCCTAAATCCACCCAGTGAGCTACTCCAGAGACTATACACAGCACCTGAGCCAAACCAGGCAACAGAACCCCATTTTCTAGGTTTTGGACCACAATTTTAACTCCAAGTTTACCCACATGCTGTTGGAAGTGGAGTGGTGCAGTTTGGTCCAGCTATTCAAACCCACATCAGATTAGAAAATCAATAACTCTTAGGTTAGAACTTAAATTTCTGGGTCTGTCACTGGAGGCAGGGGTGGGCAGGAGAAGACACCCCACTGCAACACCTTTCCCTGTGCCTGAGGATACAGATGTCCTGTTACAGGAGCTCCAAGGTGGTTTTACCTGGAGCTGCTAAGCCTTAGAGAGCAATGAGCCAAAACCAGATCCCATCAAGCACCATGTGTGGGGGCTGCTGCGTGCTCCTGATTTCCTACTGGAAATCCTGGATTTCCTACTGGTCCCCTACTGGGGACCATCCCCAGAGACCTGTCCCCGGGGACCTCTCCCTCAAACACGGCCTGGCAGGGGCTCGTGCCACCCCCAGCTGAGCCCCAGCACCCTTAGAGGCTGAGGCCACACAGGGCCTCACCTCCCTCCTCTGCCCAGGGTGGTGCCAGCCTCTCTGCCCACCGCTGGCGGAACTGGCTCTAATTGGCTGAACCGATTAATTGGTGGAAAGATTTACACCTCTCTCCTTCTCTCTCTCCCTCTCCCAAACAGGGAAGGAGAGCAGCCTGGGAGAGGCCGAGCTGCAGCCGAGCTCCGACCCCGCGGGCATGGAGAGCAGCTACCTCAGCGTGAAGGAGGCCGGGGGGAAGGTGCCCCAGGACAGGCCCAGCTCAGACCTGCCCAGCCCCATGGACAAGGGCGACTCGGAGAGCAACAAGGGCAAGAAGCGGCGGAACCGCACCACCTTCACCAGCTACCAGCTGGAGGAGCTGGAGAAGGTCTTCCAGAAGACGCACTACCCGGATGTCTACGCCAGGGAGCAGCTGGCCATGAGGACAGACCTCACCGAGGCGCGCGTGCAGGTACCGGGCAGGGCTCGGGGCTGGGTGGGGGGTGGGCTCCAGACAGGCCCCTGCCCTCTGGGGCTCTCTCTGGCAAGCCCAGGACGTGGAGGTGACCGGGACGCTGGGTACCAGAAAGCTCGGGGAGGTACAGGAGAGGCAGCTCTTGTTGCCTGCTTGGCTAAGGAGGTGCTGGGACTGCACCCAGCCTGGGGATCTGGAGCCAAAAGGTGCTCCCAGCACCTGGAGAGGAGCAGGAGAGTCACACGGCCACACTGTGGCCTCAACCACCTCCACTCACGCCGGTGCCAGTCCCCACGAACACGCTCCCCAGAAGTAACCTGGGGCTCCAGCAGAGCCAAACCCCACGCTGCAGGAGAGAACAATCCTCCACGTGCTGCTCTTTGCTCTGAGCCGAGGCTAAACTGAAGGCCTGGCAGAGCTCAGATGCACCAAGAAGCACTGTGGCTTGGAGCAGCCATCTGCAGCTCGTGCCTTGATGGCCACCACAGCTCCCACTGCAGCTTAGGCTCTCCCTCTCCAGTCTAGCCAACCCCAGGGCTCCCATCCACAGGGATTTATCAGCTCGCCACCCCCAGAGTGGGTGAGTTACTTCCCTGGTCCTACTGGTCACGCTATGGCTGACACAAGCCAGGGTGCTGGTGGCCTTCTTGGCCACCTGAGCACACTGCTTCCTTCCTCTTTCTCCTCCACGTCTGGGTCTGCAGAACCCCAGAAAGCTCCTGGGCGGTGCCAGAAACTGTCTGAGCTTCCTCCAGCCCCTCCAGGGCTGCAGGAGATGATGGAGGTGGTGGCACTAGAGCAACCTAGTACCCACACGTGGTTCCTTCCCCTTGCACCCCCCAAAAGCCCGTGCCACTGGCCATGGCTGCTCACCTCTCTTGGGCTGTGTCTCTGCCTCCTGGCCTGCCCCGAGGCAGGGGAGCAAGAGGTGGGGCTGGAGAGAGACGGGGAGCATTGAACCCTCCTGGGCCCCCCTCAGAGCCAGCCTCAGGACTGCTGGGCCCGTTAATGAAACGTCCTCGGCGCTGACCCCGCGATGCGGCGGGGGCTTGAAAGTGAGAGGGAAATGTCAAACTCTGCTGCAGCAAAGTCACCGCCTTGGAAGGAAAAAAAGCAAGAAAAGAACAGAAAAAAAAAAAAAGCAAAGCAAAGCAAGAAGTAATATATCTTGATCCCTTTTCCCCCATAAAACCCTGGGAGGCTGGTGGAAGGAGCGGAAAGACTGAGCTAAGCCTGCAGGAAATTAAACATGAAATGAAAACAAGCTCGAGTTATTCAATTCTCTCATCCCAGGCTCCAATTTCCCATTCCAGGCCACTGATAAAATGGTGTCCAGTTTCAGCGCCCAAGGATGAATCCTGGCTCTGTTCTTGCGGGCTGGAAAGCGAAGGGCCGGTGGCCGTCTCCGGGAAGAGGGGAGCTGGCCTGGCCTGCTGCAGAGGGCTGGGGTCCTGGAGCCAGGCAGATGGAGGCTGAGCAGGGGGAGGAGGCCAGGCACGGCCAGAAGGTGGGCAGGGAGAGGGGAGATCTCCTTTTTTCTTAGCTTGGAGGAAGGCTGAACGCAGCGATGCTGTCGCCGACCATCCAGCCGCGGCCAGGGGGTCTGGGCGAGGCCCCAGCTCAGCCCAGCCACACGTGGGGCTTGGTGGCACGGGCTGGGTGCCAGGCTGAGTGAGCAGGAGCCTCCTAGCTGCTTCATCTCAGGCCGTGCCCAGCCCCTCCCCTCCCTGCAGCAGGTCAGCTGGGCATGCACGTGGATCTAGGTACCAGCACGTGGCTGAATGTTCATGGAGACACGAAACGTTTTGTGTCCTGCAGATTTTTATAGGGCCCATTTGGTGCATCAAGGCCTGTCAAAGCCCTGTCTGCAGGAGCAGGAAAAGGGCCTTTGGTGCCTCTTAGGTTTGCTTGTTGAAAGCAGGTGCCTTCTGCAACTGAGGAAGTCCTAAGGACGGGTTGACTTTTTGCTGACACCTTCACGTTGTGCTTTGCCTGGCCTGCCCTGTTTTCCCTGGAGCACTGCAGAGACCTGGAGTAACCTGACCACAAGATGCCAAGCAGCCAAAAAGGACTTGGACCAGAAAGGAGAACTTTAAAGTGACCCAGACCTTCGGAGCAGCGGCAGCCTGCCAGCCCTCAGACTGTGCCCCGTGCCCCTGGCACCAGCACTGGGACTGCAGACACCCTCCTGTCCAGCCCAACGTGAAGGTTTGCCACAGCCCCCCAGCCAACCACAGCTTGGGAACCACCATTTACACCTGGGCTCTGCCAGCGAGAGGTGAACAAGGGGCAGCAGGGGACAAGCCTGTGCTGGAGACCCCACCCTGCCCCGGCCAGAGCTGGGGAACTTCCTGCAGCTCCCTCTGGGAAACCGAGAGCACAAACCCCATGGCCATGGTGGTGGAGGCTGGGCACAGAACTGGGCATGGCCACAGAGCCAGGCATGGCTACAGAGCCAGGCACAGACACAGCTGGGCACGGCCACAGAGCTGGGCACGGCCACATCTGGGCATGGCTATGGGAGCCACTGCTCGGCCACCCCGCTCCCCGACAAGCTGGACCGCGCGGAGCG